ACACAAGATCATGTTCTGATTAGAAAACACCCAGCAGTCATACAGTATCTCCTCACCACAGCATAATTTGAATAACCATGAAACAACCATCCCAACCATCGAGCAAGAAAGCCAACTTAATCATATGGCTCGACCAGCAACCAGACCCCAACACTATTAGAATGCTCATCCCGACATCAGAAGGTCGAAGCGACTCAGGGGCAAGAACGCAGACATTGCAGACTGTGTTGGCTTGGGGGACCCACCCAAGACCATTCGAGTCGGTTACAATTGTTGACACTGGAGCCATGTGGCCCGAATATACCTCTCTACCAAGCCTGGTGGCCCTGCTCAGGTCAATGCAAAACAGGCTTGCAGAAATGCAATTTATCTGCTGGGGAGCCATTCAACCGAGGTGTGTTAACTGCAAACAGATGGAGTTCCGGGGTATGGCACCCCGGCTATCCTAGACTTACGCTTCCTCAAACGCCCAGAGACTACCCAGGTGAAAATGGCGTAACCTGACTGCCAAACCCTGGCCCACCCACCCCACCCAGAATCATCACTGGCAGTCAATGATAAATCAGCATGAGGCAACAATAGACGTACTGACACAAACAGGTAACTGCCAAATACGCAACGAACACGTTCTACATCAATGATTTTGAAATATTAAATTAAAAACTCAAAGCTTAATTTGCAGCTCAAACTGATATGTTAAAGAGCTCTGCGATGCACCACCAAATACAGAGCAGAAGCTATGGAAAGATTACAGTCAAACTGAAGACATTCAGATGTCAGTACCAGATGTGGAAACACAAGATCCACCAGGAAACCGGTGACCACACAGAGGAAAACAGTGATACTGGTAACAGTTTTACTGATGCCTCTGTATATAGTCAGTGAAGATGAACAAACACAAACAGAAAAATGGTGGTGATGTCGAGTGTAACCAAAGTGTGTTGTTGTCTGCTACCGAAATGATCAACTGGTGAGCAGTACATGTTTCAGTAATGTATCAAAATGTTAAAAAGCTTCCTGCCTGTAGTAGGGACAGGTAGCATGGGAAAAAACAGTATCATTAAATGCTTTCAGTTTCTTTCCAAATATAGTACATAATGGCCAGCGTTAATACCAGACAAAGATACAGAGCGGTGAAGGTGATGAGTTGGAACATCTCATCCCTCAGAAAACGATACCCTGACCTACACCACAAAGTTAGGACACCGATATTGTGTGTCTGCAGGAGTGTCTCACACCTAATGGTAAGTTTCCTCAGTCTGCCCACTATAACGGGCAGACTGCATTGTGATCCATGTTTGATGTATGTTAAGAAGTCACTACTGTATGTACCTCCAAAAGACTACTAACTTTCTGCCGGACCAATATCCACCTGGCAACTCCACACTCAATGTGCTAAATGCTTAGGGGCTCCCTCAGACTTCCATTACACACAGATCTCCCAGACTGTGCCATACGAACCCACGGTCCTAACACAGTCATAGGTGATCCCACCACGAACACCAATGGTATACTTGACCACTTCTTCATGTACATGCTCAAATTATAGGTAATAATGAACTAAATGCGCTATTCGTATAAAGTTCCCGCATATAAGTGTATTGGCTTCTTTAATCTATCATACACAACCTTCATAGCTCTGATTTTGTTACTGATCTTATGTCTGACTCAACCCAATCCAACCCACAGTACATGTAGCCACGACACCCCCACTGACGGTAAACACAACAAATGCAGACTCACAGCTGGCAATGAACATGTAAGCCAGTTCATAGACTTCATCCATAGACAACTACCAAAGTCTCCATGATGATCTGATAGATAGAGCTTATACATACTTCACTTACAATACCTTCACCAAAAAGGAAATGGTTAGCATCGCGGAAACAGGCAACAGCAGTGCTCTCATGACCTCACCACAAAAACCTCAGGCCTAGAGTCTGGAGGGTGGGCAAGGATTACAAACAAATTAGAACACATCAAATGTTACTATTGTATCAAGCCGTCCCTGCTGCCGCCAGGGAACGTGTAAACGAACTCAAGCAAAATGCACGGGAGACATATGCCAATAGCCTGAACCAACACATTCCTCAGCACGATGAGTGTGATGTTCCATATACTGAGTGGGAGCTTGACGCTGACCTCGCCGGAGGTAGGTCTACTGCCCCTGGAGAGGTCGGAGTCACCTACAATATTGTTAGACTACTAAGGTGTGTGCCGGGCAATCCATTATTGGCATTGTACAATATGAGTCATGCCGAGGGCCAACTACCCCCATCATGGAACAATAGCATTATTGTACCTTTACCGAAACCAGGACAGCCTGATGCTTTCGTCCCATGTCACAAACTAGCTGCCTGTGTAAAACCTTTGAGAGGATGGTTCTTGGCAAACTCTTATATAGAATCAGAGAACACATGTGTCCTAACATAAATGACTTCACCCATGGTAAAGGTGTACATAATTGCATTACCAAATTCTTAACTGTGCATGGAGATGAAAGGCACATATATACCACATTTCTTGACCTAAAAGCTGCATTTGATATTACCAATAGGCAACTTGTATTATTGTACAAACTAGCGAAAATGGATTTTGTTTTTCTTTTTGTTTTATTGAATTAGCCCAAACAGGCACAGGTCAAACGACCCACTCAAACGACCCACAACCCAGGGCCTGGGGGGGCGAAAAAAACAAAGAACAGAAAAGGGAGGTGAAAACAGAAGAAAAGGGTTAAACAGCATTAATCTACCACGAAGATGCTGGAAAACCAGCTTTTTACAAACTGAGACAGATTGTATAAGTATGGAAAAACACAGAAGAAGGCAAGTGCATTCCACAGTTTGGCTGTGTGGGGAAAAAGAGGTACTATAACGGGTTATTTTCGTGTGACTGACATCCAAATTGAAATGGTGGACACCACCAGGCAGACGTGTATTTGCGGTCACAGCCTTGCCAGCGTTACTGAAAACAAACCCGAACATTGCCCGTTAAAGTTACTGTAAACGAGAGAGATTAAACCTTGTGCGGTGAAGGGACGAGAGGTTGTCGACCTAAGGAGGAGAGTTAGCCATGAACAAATACTTTGATTTCCTCTATCTAATGGTTGGACAGAAGAAAGACCCACCCCAGATATGAGAGCAGTACTCCAAAGTTTGAACGGTGGAATCCCTTATACTTGGAGCAACTGCTCAGGAATTAGTAACTCGGCATCATACAGCATTCCCAACTTTCGGGAGGTAGCTTTAGCTATATTAAGGATGTGTGATTTCAGGACATATTGGTGCGATGGTGAGGCCTAACATATTTATTTCAGAATTTGGCAGGATATTAGCGTGCGAAATGTATTGGTGGAGATCATCTAATTTACAAGTGTAATTGGCCAAATATTGAGTTTTATTACTATTGAACTTAACCATGTTTGTACATACATTCAAGGCGCAGGATCCGCATTAATAGAAGTAATGATATCAGTTATAAAACAGATCTAGTTTTGAGGTTAGGAGGAAGGAAAATGAGAAGAAGAAGTGAAGAATAGAATCATCAGCGTAAGAATAGATATAATTATTTGCAGTGGGAAGTAAATCATTGATAAAGAAGGAAGAGAGTAGGTAAAGAACTGAACCTGTGGGACACCACTACTGGTAGAATGCAGCGAGATCGATCCATCGACAACAACTGCCATGGATCGGTTCTCAAGAAGCTAGAGATGAGAAAACAAAGTGGGGGAAAGCCAAAGAGGAAGTTTAGATAGCGAAATTATGCCATACCTGTCAATGCATTGGAGATGTTGAGGGCCACGACGAGGATTTCCTCATAATCCTAAGAGAGGTTGAAGCTTAAAAGATGGGCGCAATGGAAACCGAATCTGTAGTAGATCTCGCTTGGCAGAAACCATATAGTGATCCAGCAAAGAAAGGCATTCAGGTGTGGAGAAAATGGAGTTCAAAATAGTTTCCGAAAATCTTAGGAAGGGATGAGATTAGGGCAATGGGGCGATAATAGTTAAGAGAGGGATTAGATCGGTCACCCTTCTTCAGGATAGGGCTGACAAGGCATGCTTCCAAGAAGAGAAAGTTTGGAAGTTTGAGGCAGAGGAGAAAGAAGCACAGGGCCGAAGACTCAAGCACTCCCTCAGAACACGAGGGGTATTCCGTCCGGTCCATGCGGCGTGTTATTCATCAAGCTGGATAACACACCGGCAACCCTACGAATGGAGATTATAGGAAAGTGCATAGGTTCAGTAAGAGGTGCGAGGGTAGGAGGGATAGAGAATCGTCTAAGGTGGAATTAGGAGAATAAGGTGCAAGAAGTTGGCTTTGCATTAGGAAGTCAGCTATATAGTTATCAGATTGAAGGAGAAAGGTGCAGAAGTCGTTACACATGTTTTTAGTTAAGAGGATCAAAAGGATTTTCCAGAGGAAGAATTAATCAGGACACTTGGTCTTTCTTGTTACAAAATTTCGAAATTCCTAGAAGTAATAGAAAATTATGGGTAAAGGAGAAGGAGATAGTTTCATAGCTCGATATGCCCCATCTCTCACCCTGCAAGCAAGAAACAGGAGAGATATTCATTATTGTAATGTGAAAAGTTTTAGTGAAGATGGGATAAATGCACTCCATGCCCTGTGTAACCCCAGGAATGCTGTCAGCACATACCAGAAGCGTCCCAGTGGAAAAACAACATTCATCCCAAGGAAAGTCAGTGAAAAATTCTCATAAGGATTGCCAGCTGGACCACAAGAGGTCGGCTGTTACACTGGATAAGTGGTACCTCACTAACAGAAGAGCTGCTGCACTGTTTTCAGGAGTTACAAAGATGAAGTTAAGATATGCAACTTGGCACCCCCAAGGTGGAGTACTTAGTCCACTTTGCTCCAATGTTCTTATAGACACATTTTTTAGAATCAATCCCAGACAGCCCCCAGCAGCCATGCTGTTAGCTTTGCTGATATTCTTATACATAACAAAACTCATCGTGAAAGACAAACCACTGAACCATGTACAAGCAACCTGAGAAACTCCAGGTGCTACTGTCACCACTAAAGAAAACTGAGGTGTTCAACAAACAAGCTGGTAACCGCAAACGTGGCCCATCAAGTTCGACACTATTGACTATGTCTCTTCCTTCTAAATATCTTGGTGTCTCCATCCTTGTACCTTACCAGCCATACAGCAGCTAACCCGCCAATGTAATGCCAGATTGAAACCTCTTAGAAGTGTCGCGAAATTGCAGCCCCATTATGGTGCTAATATTGAAGTACTGGCTATAAAAAGATCTCTGATAAAGACACACGCATCAGCCCTGGTCCTTCGTGACAGGAAAGACACTGACAGGTCAAAAAAGTAAAAATAAAGGCCCTCAGAATTATCTAGGCTGTTCCAAGGCATAGTGGAATCTAATGGATTCCCAGAAAACTAAAAGAGCCTTCAGAAGATGTTTGGACTAGACCGCTGGCCTGGTTGAGATACAACAGTACTTCCTTCCACCCAATGACGGACAGTTCCTTCGATATCACAATACCGACATATTCCGCCTAAAAATTAATTATACAAAGTATTATTTATCTCCAACGCACTGCTGCAGTGGGGAGCTCTTGAACACATACACACCCTACAGACTGATGACAATATCACACAGACCATCTACACTGATGGGTCTTTTAACAGCGCCTGTGGGGAGGGCTCGAACTGCTATCGCTGTGAGTCACCCAAACAGTAAAGGAATAGAAGATTAACAACCAGGCATCCACTCTACAAAAATGAATTAGTTGCCATACTCACGGCCGTTAAATTTATTGAAACCAATATCACTGACAGTCTCATCATCTCCGTTTTCTATCCTCTACTTAAGCAGCACCTTCAACTCCAAGATGTCATGCACTTGTCTCTGAAGCCAGACACAAATATGCATACCCTTGATGACCGGTGTTAAGATCAAATTGTGGATCCTCGTACATAGGCTTCCAGAAACCGCAAGAGAGTTGATGCCTGTTAAACTCGCGTTTACTTAAGACACTATTGAACACAATCAGGGTCCGTCAAAGAATCCTTAAAACTGTAATTTGACGCAAGCAGACAGGTGCCAAACAGGCTGGGAGTCAGTCCATGTACATGGAGCAAGTAACAAAGATCACTAGATTACAAGATGTTGTACTTCTAGACTAAGGTTAGGATATAAGTACCTCTGACAGTACTCCCCTCAAGCAGATGTGAACAAGAATGCCAAAAGTGTGTAGCCAGACAAATATGGTCACACACATAACCACTACGTCCTCGATTGTGCGAAGATAAAAAACCTTTTAGGGACAGGTCCAACCACACTGTTTATGAAATGGCACCTTTTATCTCTAATAACAAGATAGCCGACATATTATTTAAATTATCACTTTTTTTGCACTTAGTAACTATATCAGTTCATGTACAGAATAAATACAATGTGCTTGAATACCTCACACGCAAATGTGAATAACAAAGTGTACAACCCGGACATACAGCCTCACGGCTCCTACTCCATAAGATGCAAGAATAAGTTACCCTGTATGTATAGAAGAACAAAACAAAAGAATTTATTTGAGAAATACTCTGTAACATTCAATGCCATAATCTCCTGACTACTTTTTAATCCTTTTAACGCTTACAGGATGTAGTATAGGGGTGAACAACAAACTAACTGCTGGAAGTAGCAAAAATAGAAATAAATAAAAACTGTGGGAACACAGCAAGTCACAGGGTTTTAAGAGGTATGACACTTCACAGAAAAGCACAAAAGCAATTATCATAGTAATAATAATAATTTTGCCACTGGTTGGCAGTAATCATAGAATTGATAAGAGTAGTGAAAGTAATTATTGGGAATTGATAAATTAATGTTGTTGTGTACTATCTTGAGGAGAGCGAAGGTGGAGTCAGCTTGTGTCATAATGAGGAACAAAGGGCGTGCATGCAGTGGAAATACATAACATACTGTGGGTTTAACATACACGGATTTGCAAATCTGGCAGTTACTTATCGGAGAATATTCTGTACATTGAAGTAATTGAAGTACAAGTAGTACCCACGTTTACGCAGTCAATTGAACCCACAGGGTACAGCATAAAGTGAAAACACGCGTAAAGTGAACAACAGAACATATGGGATTAATTCCAATAGAGACTGGCCCGACCCCCAAACTCACTTTGTGATACCCAACTATGTTGTATTAAAATATTATCTTAGCACATGATGGTGTGCACACACAATTAATAATTAAGAAATATAAATAATATTAGTTTTACTAACACTTACATCAGTAGAAAAAGATGGCTGGGCACACGGGGATGGGGGGGTTGGTTTTACGAGGCAGAGAGGCGATTATTGGCCCTCACCTGCTTATCCTTGTATCAATTGTATCACTATCCACTGCAAGAGCACGGGGGCCTCTTTGTCAAACCCCTCAAAGTCATATAAGTCCACATATCCTCACTATAATTATCACCATCACTGACTTGGGCCAGCTGTGGTGTAGGTGGCAGGAAGTGAACTCGGTAAATGTTTTGTTGACTGGGCGACCTTGCAACATCCTGCCCAGCAACTCCATAATATAGTGGTACACCCTTGAAAAGTGAAAGTCGGTTCTGTGAGAATACGAGTATATGAGAAATGCAGAAAGTGAAACATGGCGTAAAAGCTGAGTAATACTGTAAATATAATACTAAGCTGCAATGATCCAAAAGGTAATACTAAGCTGTGATGACCAAATATAATACTAAGCTGGGCAAATGAAATATATACTAAGCTACTTACGATGACCAAATATAATGCAAGCTGCGATGAACAAAGATAATACTTAGCTGCAATGACCGAATAATGTAGCTGCGATGACCAAAAGATAATACTAAGCTGTGATGACCAATTATAGTACTAAGCTGCGATGATCCAAATGTAATACTAAGCTGCTATGACCCATATATGATACAAAACGATGATCAAATGTAATACTAAGCTGCGATGACCGAATAATACTAAGCTGGCGATGACAATTTATAATACGAAGCTGCGATGAATTAATGCAATACTAAAGCTGCTATGACCATATATGATACAAAGCTGCGATGACCAAATATAAAACTAAGCTCGATGACCAAAGATAATACTACTGCGTTATATATATATTACTATGCTGTGATGTAAATATAATAATATGTGATAATTTCATATATAATACTCTGCTGTGATGTCATATATAGTACTATGCTGTGATGCTCATATATAATACTCTGCTGTAATGCTGCTCATATATATTACTCTGCTATTTATGCTCCTTATATAATACTGCTGTATGCTCATATATAATACTATGCTATGATGTTCATATATAATACTATGCTGTGATGCTCATATATAATATACTATGCTGTGATGCTCATATATAGCCCTCTGCTGTGATGCTCATGTAATAGATTGATTGTCAGACCAAGCTTTGGCCCAGAATTATATAGCATATAACCTTAAGTACACTACTAGAAAGTAGTACACACATTCGGGTTAGCACACCTCAGGTGAACCTAGGGACTTGACCTCGCCATGTGTACGTGGGTGTGGGTGACCTAAATGCACCTAACCAAGACACCTGGGCAGGACCACACCTGCACACAGCTATCCAGATCCAAACCAGTTTAGTGATAATTGGAGGTCAGAGCTGGCTGGGCCGACCCATATAAAGGCCCTGATCCCGTCCACAGGGATTATTCATTCTGCCACTCTGTTAAGGCAGCTGGGGCAGGTCAGTGAGTTGACACTCCTAAAGGGGAAAAATAAGCCCTCAGAATGGAACGCTCATGGTAGGTGTGTCCTGCCCAGCAGAGACCCCACCTGCGAAGGAAAGGGAACAGGCGTGGAGGTAAATTTGTCTCCAAGGGACTAGGGTCAGGCTCAGGAAGAAGCTGACCGGGGTGGAGATGTATTAACCGTTACCAGGTGCTGCAGGAAGCTGGCGAGAAGAAGAAGAAGCAGGGACGGTATGGATCCAAGGAGAAAGGGCAGTTGTACAAACCCTGCCTGAGTAAGGTCGTGGTAGTTGGTGACAGCCAGGTGGAGTTTATGGATAGGGCTTTTTTGTGGTGCGAATGAAACGTAGGACTAGGGTGTGTTTTCCTGGGGCTGGGATAGGGCATGTAATAAGAGGTTAGACAGGGTTTTTGTCAGGGAGGTACCAATCAATGGTAATATCTTAGTGTGGGGAGGAAACGCGGCATGCGTAGGTTAGGGTAGGAACTTTTCAAGAAGAGGGTATAGGAGGCGCTGGGGAGATTAGAGATAGGGAGGGATCCTATAATTATGAGTGTCTTTGCATAGAAGAGGGGTTAGTCGTGAATGGCTGTCCAGGGCAATTGCTATAAATTGGCGACTCGAAACATTATTAAACAATGGTTTGAGATTATTGATAACTGGCAACGATATTATGGCAACGACTTCTGCACTGTCGAAGCGGAGTACACTTGTCTCGTGAGGGTAAAGACGTTGTCTGCATCCTGGGCGTAATTTTCGCACTCCGAAGGGGTTTCGCCAGTAGAGAGGGGTCGGGGAAAGTGGGAGTCAAAAACAAGCAGGTCCTGGGAAGTAAAAATTAGTTGCTTGCTCAGGACAAAGAGGGGTAAAAAACAGGACCAGGGAAGAGTAGGTTTAAAATGTATACTAAATTCAAACAGTAGGGGCAGTTCAAAAGATATCAGAAGTCTTTAAACTACAAGAGAACATATATGGGCAAGGGGTGGAAGAGAGGAGACTGCAGTGGGGCCGGGTAAACAAAATTAGAAAGACTACAGGGAAATAGTGTTAGGAATGACCAAGAAAACTACAAATTAGACAGGAGTTTAAAACTAAACGCGGTAAGGAAGACTCAGAACACGACTAACAAATATACTATCACGAACAGTGACAGTATGAAACAAAATGAGATGATATTCGGACCTTGGTATGTTGAAAAAATCGATATAATTGTATTCACTGTTATGGATCAACATCAAACACACGTGAGTTACCAGTCGAATACCAAATTGCGGGTTACACAAACTGTTCCATACCGATAGACAGATAGAAGGAGGCGGGTAACAATCTATGTTGGGGATAATCTGGTAAATAAATAAAATAAGAAAAACTGAGAGAATACAGAAAC